ATGGGAACAGTCCATGTAAGGGGGCACTCTGATGGGAACAGTCCATGTAAGGGGGCACTCTGATGGGAACAGTCCATGTAAGGGGGCACTCTGATGGGAACAGTCCATGTAAGGGGGCACTCTGATGGGAACAGTCCATGTAAGGGGGCACTCTGATGATGGGAACAGTCCATGTAAGGGGGCACTCTGATGGGAACAGTCCCATGTAAGGGGGCACTCTGATGGGAACAGTCCATGTAAGGGGGCACTCTGATGGGAACAGTCCATGTAAGGGGCACTCTGATGGGAACAGTCCATGTAAGGGGGCACTCTGATGGGAACAGTCCCATGTAAGGGGGCACTCTGATGGGAACAGTCCATGTAAGGGGGCACTCTCTGATGGGAACAGTCCATGTAAGGGGGCACTCTGATGGGAACAGTCCATGTAAGGGGGGCACTCTGATGGGAACAGTCCATGTAAGGGGGCACTCTGATGGGGAACAGTCCATGTAAGGGGGGCACTCTGATGGGAACAGTCCATGTAAGGGGGCACTCTGATGGGAACAGTCCATGTAAGGGGGCACTCTCATGGGAACAGTCCATGTAAGGGGGCACTCTGATGGGAACAGTCCATGTAAAGGGGCACTCTGATGGGGGAACAGTCCATGTAAGGGGGCACTCTGATGGGAACAGTCCATGTAAAGGGGCACTCTGATGGGAACAGTCCATGTAAGGGGGCACTCTGATGGGAACAGTCCATGTAAGGGGGCACTCTGATGGGAACAGTCCATGTAAGGGGGCACTCTGATGGGAACAGTCCATGTAAAGGGGGCACTCTGATGGGAACAGTCCATGTAAGGGGGCACTCTGATGGGAACAGTCCATGTAAGGGGGCACTCTGATGGGAACAGTCCATGTAAAGGGGCACTCTGATGGGAACAGTCCATGTAAGGGGGCACTCTGATGGGAACAGTCCATGTAAGGGGGCACTCTGATGGGAACAGTCCATGTAAGGGGGGGGTCTGATGGGAACAGTCCATGTAAGGGGGCACTCTGATGGGAACAGTCCATGTAAAGGGGCACTCTGATGGGAACAGTCCATGTAAGGGGGCACACTCTGATGGGAACAGTCCATGTAAGGGGGCACTCTGATGGGAACAGTCCATGTAAGGGGGCACTCTGATGGGAACAGTCCATGTAAGGGGGCACTCTGATGGGAACAGTCCATGTAAGGGGCACTCTGATGGGAACAGTCCATGTAAGGGGGCACTCTGATGGGAACAGTCCATGTAAGGGGGCACTCTGATGGGAACAGTCCATGTAAGGGGGCACTCTGATGGGAACAGTCCATGTAAGGGGGCACTCTGATGGGAACAGTCCATGTAAAGGGGCACTCTGATGGGAACAGTCCATGTAAGGGGGCACACTCTGATGGGAAACAGTCCATGTAAGGGGCACTCTGATGGGAACAGTCCATGTAAGGGGGCACTCTGATGGGAACAGTCCATGTAAGGGGGCACTCTGATGGGAACAGTCCATGTAAGGGGGCACTCTGATGGGAACAGTCCATGTAAGGGCACTCTGATGGGAACAGTCCATGTAAGGGGGCACTCTGATGGAATAGAGCCGTGCAGGGGCACTCTGATGGGAGCCTCACTCTGCATTCACTACAGAACAGTCCATGTAAAGGGGGGCACTCTGATGCGAACAGTCCATGTAAAGGGCCTCTCTGGCTGGGAACAGTCCTCTGCCCACTTTCTTATTGCCAGTCCATGTAGGGGGGACTCTGATGGGAACTGGGGGGGGCTCTATTCAGACATGTAAGGGGGCACTCTTTGGTTTGTAAGGGGGCACTCTGATGGGAACAGTCCAATGTAAGGGGGGCACACTCTGACCTGGGACAGTCCCCCCTGTTTTTTTTTTAAAAATGACTTTGATGGGACAACAGTCAGAGTATTGAGGGACTCCACTTGGGAACAGGTAACATGTGGGGGCACTCAAATTGGAGCAGTCCATGTCTGGGGCACTCTGATGGGAACAGTCCATGTAAGGGGGCACTCTGATGGGAACAGTCACAGTAATCTGTGACTCTGATGGGAAAGTCATGAATCCACTCTGATGGCAGCTGTGATGGCATCTATTGGGGATTGTTAGATTGGAAAGTTCATGTAAATGGGGGAATCTGAGTGGAGTGGACCTCCCTAAAGTGTGAGGGGAACAGTCCTCTCTGATGAGGAGCTCCATTCTGCAGGGGCACTCTGATGGGAACAGTCCCGTGTAAGGGGCTTCTCCAAGCACAGTCCATGGTCGGTCTGATGGGGGAACCGAGGGCACTCTGATGGGAACAGTCCATTAAAGGGGCACATCGGATGGGGAGTCTGTAAGGGGGCACTCTGATGGGGGGCTCAGTCAGAAGGGGGCACTCTGGGGCACTCCGAGGGGGACTCTGATGGAACAGTGTGGTAAGGGTGATGGGACTCTGATGGGCCATCTGTCATCTGGGATGTAACAATCGGCACTCTGATGGGAACAGTCCATGATTGTGGGGCACTCTGATGGGAACAGTCCATGTAAGGGGGGGAGGGGCGGACAGTCCATGTAAAGGGGGCCACTCTGTGGGGGAACAGTCCATGTAAGGGGGCACTCTGATGGGACACAGTCCAATGTAAGGGGCACTCTGATGGGAACAGTCCATGTAAGGGGGCACTCTGATGAACAGTCCATGTAAGGGGGCACTCTGATGGGAACAGTCCATGTAAGGGGGCACTCTGATGGGAACAGTCCATGTAAGGGGGCACTCTGATGGGAACAGTCCATGTAAGGGGGCACTCTGATGGGAACAGTCCATGTAAGGGGGCACTCTGATGGGAACAGTCCATGTAAGGGGGCACTCTGATGGGAACAGTCCATGTAAGGGGGCACTCTGATGGGAACAGTCCATGTAAAGGGGGGCACTCTGATGGGAACAGTCCATGTAAGGGGGCACTCTGATGGGAACAGTCCATGTAAAGGGGGGCACTCTGATGGGAACAGTCCATGTAAAGGGGGGCACTCTGATGGGAACAGTCCATGTAAGGGGGCACTCTGATGGGAACAGTCCATGTAAGGGGGCACTCTGATGGGAACAGTCCATGTAAGGGGGCACTCTGATGGGGAACAGTCCATGTAAGTAAGGGGGGCACTCTGATGGGAACAGTCCATGTAAGGGGGCACTCTGATGGGAACAGTCCATGTAAGGGGGCACTCTGATGGGAACAGTCCATGTAAGGGGGCACTCTGATGGGAACAGTCCATGTAAGGGGGCACTCTGATGGGAACAGTCCATGTAAGGGGGCACTCTGATGGGAACAGTCCATGTAAGGGGGCACTCTGATGGGAACAGTCCATGTAAGGGGGCACTCTGATGGGAACAGTCCATGGGGCACTCTGATGGGAACAGTCCATGTAAGGGCACAACTCCGATGGGACAGTCCATGTAAAGGGGGCACTCTGATGGGAACAGTCCATGTAAGGGGGCACTCTGATGGGAACAGTCCATGTAAGGGGGCACTCTGATGGGAACAGTCCATGTAAGGGGGCACTCTGATGGGAACAGTCCATGTAAGGGGGCACTCTGATGGGAACAGTCCATGTAAGGGGGCACTCTGATGGGATGGGCACTCTGATGGGAACAGTCCATGAAGTAAGGGGGCACTCTGATGGCAACAGTCCATGTAAGGGGGCACTCTGATGGGAACAGTCCATGTAAAGGGGGCACTCTGATGGGAACAGTCCATGTAAGGGGGGGGCACTCTGATGGGAACAGTCCATGTAAGGGGGCACTCTGATGGGAACAGTCCATGTAAAGGGGGCACTCTGATGGGAACAGTCCATGTAAGGGGGGGCACTCTGATGGGAACAGTCCATGTAAGGGGGCACTCTGATGGGAACAGTGTAAGGGTAACACTCACTCTGATGGGAACAGTCCATGTAAGGGGGCACTCTGATGGGAACAGTCCATGTAAGGGGGGGCACTCTGATGGGAACAGTCCATGTAAAGGGGCACTCTGATGGGAACAGTCCATGTAAAGGGGGCACTCTGATGGGAACAGTCCATGTAAAGGGGGCACTCTGATGGGAACAGTCCATGTAAAGGGGGCACTCTGATGGGAACAGTCCATGTAAGGGGGGCACTCTGATGGGAACAGTCCATGTAAAGGGGGCACTCTGATGGGGAACAGTCCATGTAAGGGGGGCACTCTGATGGGAACAGTCCATGTAAAAGGGGGCACTCTGATGGGAACAGTCCATGTAAGGGGGCACTCTGATGGGAACAGTCCATGTAAAGGGGGCACTCTGATGGGAACAGTCCATGTAAAGGGGCACTCTGATGGGAACAGTCCATGTAAGGGGGCACTCTGATGGGAACAGTCCATGTAAGGGGGCACTCTGATGGGAACAGTCCATGTAAAGGGGCACTCTGATGGAACAGTCCATGTAAGGGGGCAGATGGGAAACAGTCCATGTAAGGGGGCACTCTGATGGGAACAGTCCATGTAAGGGGGCACTCTGATGGGAACAGTCCATGTAAGGGGGCACTCTGATGGAACAGTCTGTAAGGGGGCACTCAGTGGGAACAGTCCATGTAAAGGGGGCACTCTGATGGGAACAGTCCATTGTAAGGGGGCACTCTGATGGGAACAGTCACTCTGTAGTCCATGTAAGGGGGCACTCTGATGGGAACAGTCCATGTAAGGGGGCACTCTGATGGGAAACAGTCCATGTAAGGGGGCACTCTGATGGGAACAGTCCATGTAAGGGGGCACTCTGATGGGAACAGTCCATGTAAGGGGGCACTCTGATGGGAACAGTCCATGTAAGGGGGCACTCTGATGGGAAACAGTCCATGTAAGGGGGCACTCTGATGGGAAACAGTCCATGTAAGGGGGCACTCTGATGGGAACAGTCCATGTAAGGGGGCACTCTCTGATGGGAACAGTCCATGTAAAGGGGGCACTCTGATGGGAACAGTCCATGTAAGGGGGCACTCTGATGGGAACAGTCCATGTAAGGGGGCACTCTGATGGGAACAGTCCATGTAAAGGGGGCACTCTGATGGGAACAGTCCATGTAAGGGGGCACTCTGATGGGAACAGTCCATGTAAGGGGGCACTCTGATGGGAACAGTCCATGTAAGGGGGCACTCTGATGGGAACAGTCCATGTAAGGGGGCACTCTGATGGGAACAGTCCATGTAAGGGGGCACACTCTGATGGGAACAGTCCATGTAAAGGGGGCACTCTGATGGGAACAGTCCATGTAAAGGGGCACTCTGATGGGAACAGTCCATGTAAGGGGGCTCTCTGATGGGAACAGTCCATGTAAGGGGGCACTCTGATGGGAACAGTCCATGTAAGGGGGCACTCTGATGGGAACAGTCCATGTAAGGGGGCAACAGTCCATGTAAAGGGGGCACTCTGATGGGAACAGTCCATGTAAAGGGGCACTCTGATGGGAACAGTCCATGTAAGGGGGCACTCTGATGGGAACAGTCCATGTAAGGGCACTCTGATGGGAACAGTCCATGTAAAGGGGCACTCTGATGGGAACAGTCCATGTAAGGGGGCACTCTGATGGGAACAGTCCATGTAAGGGGGCACTCTGATGATGGGAACAGTCCATGTAAAGGGGGCACTCTGATGGGAACAGTCCATGTAAGGGGGCACTCTGATGGGAACAGTCCATGTAAGGGGGGCACTCTGATGGGAACAGTCCATGTAAGGGGGGCACTCTGATGGGAACAGTCCATGTAAGGGGGCACTCTGATGGGAACAGTCCATGTAAGGGGGCACTCTGATGGGAACAGTCCATGTAAAGGGGGCACTCTCTGATGGGAACAGTCCATGTAAAGGGGCACTCTGATGGGGAACAGTCCATGTAAAGGGGCACTCTGATGGGAAACAGTCCATGTAAGGGGGGCACTCTGATGGGAACAGTCCATGTAAGGGGCACTCTGATGGGAACAGTCCATGTAAGGGGGCACTCTGATGGGAACAGTCCATGTAAGGGGGCACTCTGATGGGAACAGTCCATGTAAGGGGGCACTCTGATGGGAACAGTCCATGTAAGGGGGCACTCTGATGGGAACAGTCCATGTAAGGGGCACTCTGATGGGAACAGT